TGTGTGTGTGCGTCGATGAGGAGCTTGGAGGTGGAGGGTGATGAGGCTTGGTGAGGGCAGCCATGGATGCTTGGTTGGAGCTTTGGAGGAGTTTTGAGTTTGGGAAGAAGAAAGCCAAAAAGGGTGGGGGCGGATAGTTTTTAGGTTTTTTAGGGTTTTTTGGTTTGTCTTTTGACAAAATAAAGAGTGGATCTTGGGTCAATGGGTTAATGGGGCGGACCGGGTCGACCCGGTCTGTAGTGGACTGGGTCGTGGACAATTGTTTGGGCCTGGGGTTGAAAATTGAAGAAGTGGCCCAATCCGATTTTTATTTGTATTTTTGTTATCTTTTCTTCTTTTATTTTCTAAAACTAAATTATAAAAATACTTAAATTATTATTAAGAACTAAATTAAGTTATAAAAGCGCAAATTAACTACCAATAACAATTAACGCACAATTAAGTAATAATTAAGCATAAAATTGTTCATTTGGACATTAAATGCTAAAAATGCAAAAGATGCATATTTTTTGTAAATTTTTTAATTTTGATAAAACTAATTTAATTACTAACAATTATAGAATTAAATCTTACATGCAAATGCGACATATTTTTGTATTTTTTATTAATTTAGCAAATAAACAAACACAGACAAATACAAATAATAATCCAAAAATGTCACAAAAATACTCAAAATTGCACACCAAGGAAAATCATTTTATTTTGCATTTTTTTGGAGTATTTCTCATATAGGGCAAAAATCACGTGTTTACAGTTAGTAGCCTTAATAAGGCATATAATCCGATTTGAAAATTCAAAATATTTATCGGATCCAAACTTTAAAATCCGACAATCCAATTTAGGGTTCGGATTGCGTTTTATAAAATCTGAAATACAAATTTACAATACAAAATCCGAATTTACAATCTGAAATATGCTAAATTCGATCTGATGTAGTGCCCTACTTACCACAAAACAAAAACAAAAAAAATCACTTCACTATCCTTCACCAAATTCAAAAACGTCATCAATAGAATAATCTTCGTCATATCATTACATCACTAAAAGAATTCGTCCGTCACCACTTATCTTCGCGGGGTCCGTTACTTAAGCATCTAAAGTTTTATCTTTCGTTTATATAGTCAGTCTTCGACATAATCCGTCAATGGAAGACGAAGGAGAAAAAAGAAAACCAGAGAATAACGACGTTAACGTTTCAGAAACTACAAAGAAGAAGCCAAAAGAGGAGATGAAAACGGAGTTAATATCAGAGGAGGTAGCTGAAGAGGAAGTGGAAGAATTCTTTGCTATATTACGGAGAATAAAAGTTGCCGTTAAATACTTCAGTAGTAAAGTTGACGGAGCTAGTAGCAGTGATGGCCGGAAAATGACGTATGACATCGAGCAAAAGTGTTCCGACGAAGTTGTGGGCGAT